GTCACAGCTCACAGCAACCTCCAACTCCTGGGCTTAGGTGATTTCTCTTGCCTCAGTCTCCCACATACCTGGGACTACAGGTGCCCACCACAATGCCCGGCTATTTTTTTTGTTGCAGTTGGCTTGGGCTGGGTTTAAACCTGCCACCCTCAGTATATGGGGCTAGCATTCTACCCACTGAGCCACAGGCACTGCCCTGGTGTCAGTGTTTTGTTAGCATTATAAAATGAGATGGCTATCTTTCCTTGTCGGATTTTGTTTTTGTTTTTATTTGAGACAGTGTCACCAGGATTTGTCACCCAGGCTGGACTGTGGCGGCCCAATCATAACTGACCACTGTAACCTCGAATTCCTGGGCACAAGTAATCCTTCTCAGCCTTCTGAGTGTCTGGGACTAAAGACACTCACTACCAAATACTGAGCCAATTATCTTTCCATGTTTCCCCCCTCAGTTTTCAGAGTTTATGTAGATTTTAAATATACTTTTTTTTTAGAGACAGAGTTTTACTTTGTTGCCTTCTGTAGTGCCATGGCATTACACAGCTCACAGCAACCTCCAACTCCTGGGCTAGGCGATTTTCTTGCCTTAGGCTCCCGAGTAGCTGGGACTATAGGCGCTTGCCACAATGCCTGGCTATTTTTTTGTTGCAGTTTGGCCAGGGCTGGGTTTGAACCCGCCACCTTCAGTATATGGGGCCAGCACCCTACCCACTGAGCCACAGGCGCAGCCCCAAATATACTTTTTGTGAGGAGTTTAAAACAACTACAAAATTAGAAGGTACAGGTACCCTGTCTCAAATAAAAAACTGCTGTGCTTATAGTTATGCTTTGTTACAGGGAGAGGATTCAGAGTACAATCAGTGAAAGGAACAGACTCAGGGCAAGAGTCTAGGAGGGTTCCAAATACAGAGCTTCTCTTGTCCTCTCCCTGTGTAGTCAGGATGCATTTCTCTCCTGGCATCAATGTGTGACAGTACTACCAAAGAGGGGAAGCTTAAATGAGAACTTTCAAACAGGGAAGCTCATCCAACTTCCACTGTGTGGAGTTTTTGTGGAGATTGTTCCCATAGACGTGAACAATTGCTCACATGGATAATTTCAGTCTCCAGGCTGACTGACATTGCATGATCGGAAACACCCACTCTCACTGGGCCAGCACCTACCCTAAAGACCATACAGGCATGGGTAGTCTCCTTAAATCACACTGTTATCCTATCCATCGGATCCAACGCCCCCAATTAAAGACACACCAGACATAACATTCCAAGTACCCTGAGATTATCTACCAAAAGACCAAATTCTTCACTACACACTTCTGTACAGTTTTTCTCTTCTATGGTTGTCTTCCTATGATTTCTTAAAAACAGATTAAGCCTTTAGGATTCTAGTGTGGAAAACTGGTTCTTTGAGCCCTGCATTTCTCTAGATATCTCTTAGAAGATAAAAATTTTAGGACACTTTTGATTTAACTGCATTTAAATTTAACAACCTTTTATCTTTTTTTTTCTTTTTTAAGAATAAAGGTTCTCTTCAGTTTGAAGACAAATGGGATTTCATGCGCCCAATTGTTTTGAAGCTTTTACGCCAGGAATCTGTTACAAAACAGCAGTGGTTTGATCTGTTTTCGTAAGTAATCCACTAATTCTGTTTGCTAATATAAAGGAAATTTTGATGATGTTTTTCTGTATCCACCTACAACTCTAGATCATTTACCTATTAAAAATTACTACTAATGTTGTGTTAGGGGTCTTTAAGACCGGTTTCAGTGATTTGCTAGAGGACTCCCAGGACTAGTGAAAGGATTCAAAGCAGAATCAGCGAACGGAAAAGGTATGTGGGGTGAAGTTTGAGAAAAAAACAAACATAAGCTTCCAAGTGTCCTTTACCAGAGGAGTCACACAGGGCACACTTAATTTTTCCAGCAAAAAGATTGACAAAATGTAATATGTTATGTACCAGGGAAGCTGGTAGAGACTTAAGCACCCAGGGTTTTTAGGGGGGCTGGTAACATAGGTAATCTCTGTTTGGCATGTTCCAAAATGAGTATCTATGCAGCTTAGATACAGTGAGCCATTCTACCATTTCAGGAAAGTTTTACATAAGTGTAAGAAACTGTCGACTGTTAGATTTCTGTGTTACCAGCCAAGGGCTTATCTTACAATCAGGCTTTTCTAAGGACCTTTCACAGGTCTTCTGTGTTAACTCTTGGCCCTTGGCCAAAATTTCTTCCCTGCAGAATTATTGTCAGTAGTCCCCCTGTGTCGCAGGGCAAGACTGACTTCTGGTAATGACTCCAGTTATACCTTTTAGTAGCCATGGATTTAGCCAGTTAAAACACATCCTGTTTGCTATAAGGTTTATAATTAATTAATTATTTATTTATTTTGAGACAGAATCTCACTTTGTCACCCTTGGTAGAGTGCTATGGTGTGACAGCTCATAGCAACCTCCGACTCTTAGGCTTAAGTGATTCTCTTGCCTGAGCCTCTTGAGTAGCTGGGACTACAGGCATTCATCACAACTACTCCTGGCTATTTTTTGGTTGCATTGTCATTGTTGTTTAGGTGGCCTGGGCTGGGTTTGAACCTGCCAGTCTGGGTGTATGTGGCTGGCACCAAGCCTACCAAAAGGTTTATTTTAGAAAACCATGTTGCTTTTTCTGTCAGGTTCTATATGAGTGTTTTCTGACATGGCCTCAAGTGTCAGCTCAGACACAACACAGTTAAGGCCAGTAAGTTGAAGCAGACCTTAAAGCCTCCCAGGATTGAGGTAGTGTCATGATAGGATACATACATAAATATAATCCCAGCAGACATATGTGGAATCCCTGGAAACAAAGAGTTTAGAATTGTTAGGGTACCCTAAGCCACATACATACTAGTGTGGCCTCCTACCATAGGCCTGTATAGGGCCTTTTATTCTAGGGTTCCCAGGCCAGGCCACTTAATTTCAGTTCAGGCCTTGGTTTCAGATGGCTTTAAAACAGTTCGAAATAATTTGTTTATTCATCACACCAGTTCATTTGCTTCACTAGTGTGAATGACATCTGGAGGTATTCTACATGGGAAATGAAGAGGCTGGGGCTATACCCTACTGTCTAATAGTGCCGTTAGATGTGATGATAAGATTTGCAGTCAGTTTGATTTAAAAACACTCAATGGACCTGGTGTAGTGGCTCATGCCTATAACCTTAGCACTCTGGGAGGCTGAAGCAGGAGAATTTCTTCAGCTCAGGAGTTTGAGACCAGCCTGAGTGAGAGTGAGACTCTATCTCTACTAAAAACAAAAAAACTGGCTGGGCCCTGGTGGCTCATGCCTGTAATCCTAGCACTCTGGGAAACTGAGACAGGTGGATTACTTGAGCCCATGAGTTCGAGACCAGCCTGAGCAAGAGTGAGGGATCCCTTTCTCTAAAACAATAGCCGGGAGTTGTGGCAGGTGCCTGTAGTCCCAGCTACTTGGGAGACTGAAGTAGGAGAATCACTTATCACTTAAGCCCAAGAGTTTAAGGTTGCTGGGTGGTGTCTCCTTGGGCTCAAGGAGTAGGGCACTGGCCCCATATACCATAGGTGGCAGGTTCAAACCCAGCCCTGGCCAAAAACTAAAAAAAAAAAAAAAAAAAAAATGACCGGGGCCTGTAGTCCCAGGTACTCAGGAGAATC